TTTTTTTTTTTTTTTAATTTTGTTCGAATTTTATGATTTTTTTTTCGAATTTTGTGTTATAACACATTCATATAAAATTGGCCACATTTATCAATTTATAAGGTAACATATTTTTTGGCCACATTTAAAAAAAAAATTTAAAAATTGAATTTTTTATTATTATTTTTTAATAAGGGCAAAATAGTATTTTAAGGGTGCGGTAAATAGTAAAAGTGGGTGCGGTGAATATTAACACTCAATTATAAACTAATTAATTTGCTATTTCCCAATACCCGTTCCTATTAATTATCTTTTAATCACAACCTCATATTATCACAGAGAGAGAGAGAAATAATGGCAGCTGAAATAGATCACAAAACATTGACCGTCAATGGGATCCGAATGCACGTGGCGGAATCCGGCCGCGGCCCGATAATCCTGTTCCTCCACGGCTTCCCCGAGTGCTGGTACACGTGGCGCCACCAGATAAGATTCTTCGCCAGCCGCGGCTATCGAGCCGTGGCGCCGGACCTCCGGGGCTTCGCCGACACCTCCGGCGTGCCGGCATCAGTTCCGGCGGCGTTCACCTCAATCCACGTGGCCGGCGATCTCGTCGCGCTAATCGAGGCGGTGGCCCCGCCGGGCGAAGGGAAGGTGCTTGTGGTGGGGCACGACTGGGGAGCGTTGGTTGCCTGGAGCTTGTGTCTGTACAGGCCCGACAAAGTCAACGCGCTGGTCAACTTGAGCGTGCCCTTCAGCCGGAGGAACCCGGGCCGGAAGCCGCTGGAGACACTGCGCGCGGTTTATGGAGATGAGTACTATATTTGCAGATTCCAGGTTTGCCCTTTTCGTTTTTTTTTGCTTTCTTTCTTAATTTCATTGTACAAGAACTCGTTACATTTATATTGGGAACCGTGTTTAGAATATGAACTTTTCCTTATATTAGTCTTTATTTAAAATATTGGCACAATTTCAATTTTGATCCGGAAAATTTGATCAAAATCATTTTTTGGTACACTAATTTTTCTCTTATAAAAAATACTCCCTCCATTTTGAAATATAAGGCGTATAAAGATTTCTCATTTTTTTTGAAATATAAGGCGCGCTCAAAAATCAAGACAATTTTTTACATTTTTTTCCAAATATACCCTCATTGTGTTGAAATTAAGGAAGTGTGGAGTGGTTGTGATTAGAGTAAGTAAGGTTAATTTAGTCAATTTATTCATTAATTAATGTCTCCTTAATACTTGTGCAATAACCTTAAATGCCTTATATTTCAAAATGGAGGGAGTAGTATGTTATGTTACAATTTATATCATTTTTGGGACATTGTTCATAAAAAATAATACATTATGATGAACCATTTTTGGGATTAATTTCTCAATAACGATAGACATTGCAATTTAACGTACTATTATTGATGAGAGGAAAATTAATGTACCAAAAAATAACTTTAGACAAATAAACAAATCAAAATTGAATTTTTGATATTAGATTTTTGTTTGAAAGCGTAGAAAAAATATGGTATCTAACTGTCATGCCTAGCACAAGAAATGTGACATTCTTAAATAATACACGTCTAGTTCTATAACAAATATTTGAATAAACAGAAGTCATGAAAGGGCTTGTTGTTGATGCATGTATAGAAACCAGGAGAAATAGAAGAGGAGTTTGCCCAAATTGGTGTCAAGAATGTGGTGAAGTATTTCCTGACATACCGCAACCCGGGCCCACTTTACCTTCCAAAAGGCAAGCCTTTTCCTGATAATCCAATCAGTTTGCCTTCTTGGCTCTCTCAAGAAGATGTTGATTACTATGCTACCAAGTACGAGGCCACTGGCTTCGCTGGTGCCTTAAATTACTATCGGGCACTTGACATGTAAGTTTGTTTTTTTTTTTTCTTTTTAATTATTATTAATTTGCTTAATTTATGCTTCGTATTTGAATCACTACGATGGAGGAACATTTTACAAAGATATGTGTTGATGAAGATAATAATAATAACGGCTTTTAAGTTTTATTTTTATTTTAATTAAATATTTTGCTCTTTCTTTTTTATTTTCTGAACGTATAATTTAAGTTTTTTTTTTTTTTTACAATGTCATATTAATCAATTTTTTCAATTATTTCATGTGATGTGTCTATCGTTATAACTATAAAATAATGAAAAATAACTTCAAATAAAGATATATAAATGAATAACTATACCCTATTGTAAATGATATATAGTTTATTACATATTCTAATTATTGCGAATCTCGTACAAACTATGGACATGAATTCACCATGTTTTTTTTCCTGTAGTACTAATTTTAGCAATAGAGTCGAACAATGATGTTATTATTTTGCATTATGTATAATCTCCTTACCAGTTCAAATAAAAAATAATAAAAAAAAATAATGGTAGAAGTGGTTCGTTTTATACATAAAGATAGTAGTCATTTTGAAAAACGAATAGGAAAACATAATGTGTCAACATTGATTTTGTAATATTATTATTTTAAAATGAATAGGAAAATATAAATTATCACAACTAAATGAATTATGGTATCAAGGCCAAATCACCCGAATCAAGGCATTCGATTTTTTTATATTGTGTTAAAATCATGTTACGAATTATGTTGAAGTTTTGAAGATTTTGAAGTGTGAAGAAAGGTATTACCATATGGTATAAAATCAATTGATATATTAAATGTATCAAGGTTGAAATAATGGAAAATGTTATGCATATATTGGTTTTAAGAATGGTACGAATTAAATAAGTGTATAAGACTATGATGTAAAATTTGAGAAAGTGAACCGTGTACAACTATCATCATCTTCATATATTCATGTCTCTAATTATAATGGAAAATGATAGAGATTTATTGGTTTTTCATGGATAAAAGATGAAATATGGACCTTCATTAATATTATTGCGCATAATATGATAAAATTGCCAAGATATTTGGTTGCCCGATTTAGAAGAAAATGGACAATTACCAAGTTAGATAAAAAAGATATTTATGTATCATACCAAGTTTAACTCCAAACCATAATTTTTTTTACACAAACCAAATTAGGAAACACAAATATTTGCCAAGTCAGCATCCAAAGCGTGCGTGCCTGCCATTTAGGCTCAACACGTTTTGAATTAATGTATTGAGAGAGATAAATTAATATATATGGAGAGATATTATGCAGTAAGGTGCACACTATATAGATGACATGACAAATTAATATTGGTTGAGAAAATAAAGATAGGGTACAGTTACAACTCATAACGACCTTATAATTTTCCTTAGACATATGTACTTGAACTTTCTTTGGTAGGGGAAAGGGAGGTTATGAGAAATAGGGTAAGTCACATGTCTGAAACCAAATGCAAACCACTGTATCCAATTCATCTTCACAGACTTAATAATTTGTATATGTATCCCTCTATCATGATACAGTTTTACTCTACATGTTGTACCATCTTGTTAGCCAAAAATATAGAAATAAATACTATACATCTTGTACGTCAATCAAAATATGAAGGAATTGGGAGCTAACAGCGGTTTGGACCGGATGCCAAGTTAAAGTCCCGGTGAAATTCATGGTGGGGGATGAAGACCTGACGTACAACGCCCCAGGGGCAAAAGAGTACATTGAGAAGGGAGGGTTGAAGAAAGATGTGCCGATGCTGAAGGAAGTAGTTGTGCTGAAAGGGGTGGCTCATTTTATCCATGAAGAGAAACCCGATGAAGTTAATGCTCACATTCTCTCTTTCTTAAAAAACTGCTCTACTCACAATTGTTCGGCATTGTGATCTTGATTCCGATTCTTATTCAAAAATTGGCCTTTTATGTTTGGATATGGGCATGCCCATTAACAATGTAAATGTGATTGGTCACTAGACGATGGTGTTATTAGAATATTCATTTCTGAGTTGTCTCACATCGTTTATATAAGAAAAATAGGCCTAATTTATAAGTCTAATGGGCTACTCCTCCTTCCACCAATTGGTTTTGGGATAGAACCTCACTTGGACTTCATCTGGGTTTTCCCTCCTTACATATAGGATCTGTAAGGGCATGATACCCCCACCCCACAAGTTTGGCAAATTGTTTATAGGATCTTTAAGTGTACTTCCTTTAGGGCGGATAGTAATAATATTCTCTCTGAAAAAAATGATTTTACAGTTCTACGTTATTTAGACGGTAAATACACAATGATATCCGAATTTGGAGGCTTTTATCTCAAAGAGAGAGAGATTCAGCACAAACTTTAGTAAATAGGATATTGTGTACCGAAGCAAAACAAATTGGTAACTCAACATAGTTCACGGCATTAAGCTTAACAAAAACAATAAATAAATAAAAAAAAAAATGAAGAAGAAGAAGAAGAAGAAAGCTTCCGAAACACCAAACAACATGTCATAATTTAGATCAATGAGAGTTATATTGCACAAACATTATTAATGGCACAATTATTAATACTATATAGTATCCATTATATAGTACTCCATTAAAAATCGTACCAAAACATGGTTATATAAATTACCACCATTAAGTAGAGATAGATTTCTTAACCTACAGTGTCCAGCCAAACGAGTGGAATAGAAGTAGATGTAATCATTAGTCAAGTTCAAATCCACATTATATGTTTAGGCCATTCGACGCATTTGGCATTCGAGTTGCATTACATTCTGCGATGTTGAAAATCTCAAGATGTATAGAAAGCATTCCACAGCCAGTTTTAAGCTGGCCAAGGTGAAAAATAGCATGAACCACACAGTAAGTGAAAAAGGCCCTAATAAACTCATCCCATACAATTTCTTGTCTTTTTTCTCTCATATAACTCGTTTTCATTGATCAACAAGCAAACAACATACAACCATGAAAATCAACCCATCAGTTTAACATCTCCCATAAGTTGATGAAAATTTACAAACATGGGAGTCTACAAAATACAAGTAATATTAGAAAAAGAGGTACAAAACGCATATTATCAAGCATTATCATGTTCGTCATTCATCATTGTCGGTGTCCATCCATGTCACTTCATATAACAGCTCAGCCAGATTTGAACAGGAGTATCGCTTTCGAATCCAGATAGAAGTAGACAAAATGATTTGTCTCATGAGTCACAAACGAACCTAATGATGGTGGGTGAAAACAAATTAGTACAGGTTCTCAAAGAAAGAACGCAAAAAGCACTCTTTTACATTTTCACAAAAGGGTGATTTCTACACAAAACTAAAGCACTTTACATGTTCTCCATCAGAGGCACAATTACGGTCAAGATTAAAGAAGGTTAAGAAGAAAAAATATCATCACCACCTTTCATGATGATTATGCATTATTCTTTATGTATTTATTACATCTGGGGATTCACATTGATAAAGCAATTGACAGAAAAAAAAATGTGGATGGATTCTTTTTTAAGAGAGATCAGGTTATGAATGGGAGTGCAGGGAGCAAACCATTCTGTAATATGTCATCTGGCACCAATGGCCTTATTATAACATGCATACATATGATAGGTAGCTTAGATATCATCTTATAGTGTTTATGACATTACTAATGCCTTTTGTTTGTCCCACTTTTGTTGCGTTTTTCGTCATTATTTTTCTTTTCTTTTTCCCCCATATTAGGTGCTTTATTTGGTTTCTAGTTTGTTTTGTAGTTTATTTCGTGGTTCGCTCTATTTTAGTCTTTCGTGTGTTTTCCGTGTATTTTTTCGGTTTTTCTTTGTTTATGGTGTGTAGGTTGGAAGTCTCGGGAGGACCGGATTTCAGGCGAAAACTAGCCGGACAAGCCTAATTAAATAGAGAAGTTCGTTGGGAACAAACAGGAAAAAGCGGAATCGAATTCCGAGTTGAAACGAACCCAAACGGACCCGAGAAGCAAAGTCCAGCAGGCTGCCCAGGCCCCGCGCCGTGCCGCGCCGCGCCACACGCCGCGACCACGACTAAGGCTCCCAGGTCCCATGCGTCAAGCCGCGACGCCCAGCATACCACGCCGCGATGCCCAGCGCGCCGCGACACCACACACCTCCGCGTTGCGTCATGCCGCGCCGCGGCACAGTGATGAGGATGTGGTCATCGACCCATCCGAGCCCGAGGACGAGTCACGCGAAAGCCGTGAGAAGAAGCGCGCGAGGTCCCGGGATGAGTACCGAGACCGTGCTAAGAGGGCCCGGAGAGGCTACGCGATGGGAGATGCGCCCACAGTCACGTATTGGGCCGATGATGAGAGCGAGAAGATTGAGCCCGGGAAAGTGGGCAAGTGGTGCAAGGCATGCGCGAGAGATCGTCGCAAGCAACATACGATGGCTAAGGCAAATGAGGCACGCAGGGGTTGGAACAATGCGAAGGGCTCGACAAGCGGGTACGAGCGGGCTGCGATAATGAGAGTCACGCACAAGGCGCTGGTCGAGCGGGGATATGATGGCGATGGCGCGGACGCGCTAAAGGAGTGGGTCGACGAGGTCGACAAGGGCGAAGCGGTCGACAGGGTCGACGAGGCGAGCGAGCGCAGCTCACGCGCGGGTCGCAGGGACGCGCGAAGGAATGGGCGCGCGCATAGCGCGAAGGGGTTCGCGCAAGGCACGCGGGGGTTGGATGGCGCGAGTCCTCGAGGGATTAGGCATAGCGCGCCGACTGAAGAGAATCCGCGCGACTTGGGGCGCAAGGCAGGTCACGCGTGCGACGCGTGGTACGCGGGAAAAGGCCGTGACCTCAAAGAACAAGGACTAGCCGTGACGGCTAGGGTTTGGTCGAGGCGCGCGGCACAAAGGGACGCGCGATCCTTCTAGAAGGCCTAAGGGCCGATGTCCTTTAGTAGCTTAGCAATAATAGTTTGGTTAGGATATGGAATAAAAGGCATGTGCCTAAGTAGTTTAGGAAAGTCTTTATTTAGTTTCCTTAGGACTTTATTTGTTTATTTGCATTAGGAGTTCTTCCTAGACTAGGATTAGATTTAATTGGTATCTATAAATACCACCCATAGGTCATTCGAAATATATGGTTAAGAAGTAATGGAAAATCGATCGTGAGAACAAAACCGTGTGTTTAGAATTCGTGAGAGTTTTATCCTACAAACCGAGTTGGTGAGGCTAAGACCCGAACCATCTCAAAATCGTGAGAAGTTAAGGCTAATAACCGATTCGTCCACACCTATCGTCGAAGGACAAGCCGTGGCAAAACTTGGATCGAGACAATCGAGTTGGGAAAACACACGATACTTCATCGTTGGTGCTTTCATTGAGAGGTGTTGATCGTGTGTTTTGTTTAACTTTTTCTATCTTCTTCTTTTTCGAATTTTTCTTCTTCTTTTTGTGAGTTTGGTTCGTGAGTATCAAAAAAAAAAGAAAAAGAGAGAAGCCATGACAAACCGAGAGAGATTCGAGATGTTGGAAGAGAGCATGAGATCCCTTGGTGATGGACAACATGCGGCCAACGAGAATTTTGCGAAGTTGGAGCTCATGGTGCACGATCTTGCGGCACAACTTGCTCGAGCTACCCGACGACCGCGAGGAAGTCATAGGTCGTGTTCGACCACAGCTCGATCGAGCAGCTCCGAGTCCGACCACGAGGACCATGATCGACGATCGAGGAGGACACGAGCGTCTGGTCGACGCGAGGAGAGAAAGGTCGAGAAGCCGAGGCTAACCATGCCGACGTTCACGGGGACCGACCCGGATGCGTGGTTGAGTCGAGCTACTCAATATTTCGAGATCAATGACGTGCCCAAATTTGATCGAGTCAAAATCGCCGCCTACTATCTCGATGGTGAGGCAAATGTATGGTGGCAATGGATCTCGCACGTCTACAAAGGCAAAGGTATGCGGGTACATTGGAGAGATTTCGAGAAGGAGATCATTACGCGCTTTGGATCGAGCCAATACCATGACTATGACGAGGCACTCACTCGTATACGTCAACGTGGTAGTCTACGTGATTACCAAAAAGAGTTCGAGCGCATTGCTAGTCGAGTGCGCGAGTGGCCCGAGAGTGCGTTGGTTGGAGCATTTGTGGGTGGGCTCAAGCCCGAGCTGGCTGCCGAGATACGATTAGATCGACCGAGGTCAATGCGAGCTGCCATGGAGTCGGCACGAATGCGAGAGGACCATCTGATTGCGATCCGAAAGACGAGTCGAGGTGACAGACGCGTCGAGACACGGCGCACGGGTACGGCCGCGGACCCACCGCCGCTGATCGAGGACGCAAAAGTGATCAAGGTGGTTCGACCACCGAATTACATGCGGCGTGTAAGTTCCGAAGAGATGCAAAGGAGGCGCGAGAAGGGTCTATGCTACTCGTGCAATGAACCGTTCACGCCCGGACATAGGTGCAAGGGTAAAGAGGTTTACCTACTCGACACATGCGAACCTGAGGAAGAACACAGTGAAGGAGGGCACTTGTACTTGAATCCACAATTGGAGATGCTGCACATGGTCAAAGCCGAAAAAGGACCTAAGATGTTGAGGTTCGAGGCTGAGATTATGGGACAAAAAGTCGATGTGTTGGTCGACAGTGGGTCGACACTCAATTTTATTAGCTTGGACTTCACCACAAGGCTTGAGATTCCAATGACCGAGGTTGTACCATTTGGAGTACGAGTTGCAAACGGCGAAGAGCTTTGGAGTTCGGAGCTATACAAAGATGTCCCGATACAAGTGCAAGGTGAAGAGCTAAAGGTGGATTTGTTTGCGCTAGATCTTGGAGGACCCGAAGTGGTGTTAGGAGTCCAATGGTTGGAGACGCTAGGGCCCATAGTTACCAATTTCAAAACGGGAACGATGGAGTTCAAAAGGGCCAAGAAGAGGATCAAGCTATGTACTAGCGACGAAGGAACGGAGCCGGTCAAATTGAAGAGTCTTCAATTCATTCTCCTTGAGGACAAGGTCAAACTCAAAGGGGGATGGAATGATGAGGATGTCGTCATCGACCCACCCGAGCCCGAGGACGAGTCACGCGAAAGCCGTGAGAAGAAGCGCGCGAGGTCCCGGGATGAGTACCGAGACCGTGCTAAGAGGGCCCGGAGAGGCTACGCGATGGGAGATGCACCCACAGTCGCGTATTGGGCCGATGATGAGAGCGAGAAGATTGAGCCCGGGAAAGTGGGCAAGTGGTGCAAGGCATGCGCGAGATCGTCGCAAGCAACATACGATGGCTAAGGCAAATGAGGCACGCGGGGGTTGGAACGATGCGAAGGGCTCGACAAGCGGGTACGAGCGGGCTGCGATAACGAGAGTCACGCACAAGGCGCTGGTCGAGCGGGGATATGATGGCGATGGCGCGGACGCGCTAAAGGAGTGGGTCGACGAGGTCGACAAGGGCGAAGCGGTCGACAGGGTCGACGAGGCGAGCGAGCGCAGCTCACGCGCGGGTTGCAGGGACGCGCGAAGGAATGGGCGCGCGCATAGCGCGAAGGGGTTCGCGCAAGGCACGAGGGGGTTGGATGGCGCGAGTCCTCGAGGGATTAGGCATAGCGCGCCGACTGAAGAGAATCCGCGCGACTTGGGGCGCAAGGCAGGTCACGCGTGCGACGCGTGGTACGCGGGAAAAGGCCGTGACCTCAAAGAACAAGGACTAGCCGTGACGGCTAGGGTTTGGTCGAGGCGCGCGGCACAAAGGGACGCGCGATCCTTCTAGAAGGCCTAAGGGCCGATGTCCCTTAGTAGCTTAGGAATAATAGTTTGGTTAGGATATGGAATAAAAGGCATGTGCCTAAGTAGTTTAGGAAAGTCTTTATTTAGTTTCCTTAGGACTTTATTTGTTTATTTGCATTAGGAGTTCTTCTTAGACTAGGATTAGATCTAATTGGTATCTATAAATACCACCCATAGGTCATTCGAAATATATGGTTAAGAAGTAATGAAAAATCGTTCGTGAGAACAAAACCGTGTGTTTAGAATTCGTGAGAGTTTTATCATACAAACCGAGTTGGTGAGGCTAAGACCCGAACCATCTCAAAATCGTGAGAAGATAAGGCTAATAACCGAGTCGTCCACACCTATCGTCGAAGGACAAGCCGTGGCAAAGCTTGGATCGAGACAATCGAGTTGGGAAAACACACGATACTTCATCACACAGCTACCTCCCACGCCGCGCTGCTGCCACGACCCGAATAGAGGATGCGCCCAGGCAGACCTCCGCGCCACGTCATGCCCCCGCGCCACGACACAAGCCCCTGCCGCGCCCGTGATGGTCCTCCGCACCGCGGTGCTGTACCTTGCCGCGTCGTGCCATTTTTCCCACGCTGTGATGCGGTGCTGCCTATATATATATGAGATCGGGGTCGACTTAACAAATATCTTTTCACGCACCGAAAATCACAAAAACCCTACCCCCATTCTTTTTCACTCGTCTTTTCATATTTCTCTCATAGTTTTCAACATAGAACACGGATTTGATCTCGGATTTTGCTATTGCTTTGAATTTAAGCCTGTTTATCAGATTCAACTTTGGGATTTTATCATTCGTAAGATTTCCTTTTCATTTAGCTTGATGAATATGAACTCTTGGGTTGATATGAATGCTTTTGTTGATTATTCGAGTATGAGTAGCTAAATTCATATGCTAGGGATAGGGGATTGATATTTTGATTTCGATTGCGATTGTAGGCGTTCGTTGATTGTTCTTTTCATGCGAGTCGATCTTGCATTGATAATTGTTGAAGGGTGACGCTTCAACTTACAATTATTTCAATTGAATTTGATTTATTCGTGCTTGAAATTGGTGAATCTATTTGATTAGTCGGTTAACTACCCTCTAGTCTACTATAATCGACTCTTAGAACTGAAAGGGGAGGAGTCGGTCGAAATAGGCTCGTACGAACTAGGCTTGTTCGTAACTGTATTGTCTAGGAGTTGAATGAATTGTTAATTTGCCGTTCTAGTTTGTTCTCTTATTACGAAAAGTTATTAAGAATGAGTACTCGAACGTGTCGATTATTCAAATCACTTAGCTGAACAATCACTTGCCCATTAATTGCAATTCGAACCGAAAAGGATCTCCCGACTCCCTAGCTTCTCAAATCTTAATTGTTCTTCGTTACTTGCTATTTTTTTATTGCTTAATTTAAATTTCCGCAGTTGATAATTAAACCAAAATCAATCTTTGATTTAGAATGTTTATGAATTTTATTTCTTTTATTAGTGCTTGAATAAACGTACAGAATATTCTGGCTAACCTTCCTCGTGAGACACGACCCGGTGTTCGAATCTTTCGATTCTACTCCGGAAAAATATTTACAACGCCTATTATACAATAAACCCGATATAATGTTATAGATTAGAGTCTATAATATCAATAATAACTATTAAAAGTACAACAAACCTCATATAATGTAGTATGAGTATGAGTGAAATGGAGGGGTTATGGGCGATAAATCCGAAGGAAAGACGTTATACACTACATTTCTTGCATTCAATAAGCGAAAAAATGGATCATAGGGATAGAATTTCTTCACCAACCATGTTTGTCATTACCTTTCGATTCCTAGCCCAGAAATGATCACACCTAGCACTTCCACACTTTAAAAGAATGCATATGTATGTAATTGATGCCTCTATAACTAACCAATTTTCAATAATCCTTTTGATCCATGATTCTTACTTTCATTGGGCTCCACAGTGCAACAATGGGCTAGATTGGATGTTAAATCTAGTTATATAGTTACTCACCTTAAACCCATTTTCCTTAGAAGTTAAGGGTTGAGTAGAGGAGAAAGATAATATTCTAAAAGTCCCTGCCCATCTCCGATTATATCCCACCTAAGTGCTTAGCCATGTATAAACATTGATAATAAGAACAAAATAAAATGCAAGATATAAGGTGTAAATAGTGAACACCTTTTAAAGTGAAACGGTAGCTCATATCACTTGAGCTACGTGCTTGTGGTTGATGGGATCAAGTGCAATAGTGCTCTAACAGGTAATAAATATTAATTATTATGGTCCCATTTGGTAGATAGCGGATTGAAGATAAATTAGCGGATTAGACTTAATTGAGAGGTTTGACCCGTCAAATCCGCTATTGAGCTTGTTTGGTAAATAGCTTATTTGATAAGCTTTTAGGGCCCAAAACTCTAATTTAGAAAAAGCTCATTAGAGGAGCTTTTTGGGATAGAGGATTCACAATTGAGAAGTTTTACTAAGAACTTTTTAATTTGTCTTATTTATTTTACAGTCTACATTGGTTTATAGAGCTAATAAATAATAATATGTCATCCATATGATTAATTTATCTAGAAAAATGTAAAATTCATAACTTCTTCATCAAGTGTTAGTAAATTTTTAAAAAAATATATATTTATAAATTACCAACTAAAGAATATTAAATGTTTTAATATATTATTATTAAATAGATACACCCTAAATAATAAAATGTCCTTATTGGTCATTTTGCAATGTCAAACAGCTATAAGCTTTCAGCTATTTACCAAACACTTATTTAAAAACCGCTAATGCAATCCGCTGGTCAAATCAGCTAATATAATCCGCTATTCGCTATCCGCTGATACAATCCGCTATCCGCTATCTGCTATCCGCTGATCGCCAAACAAGACCTATATTTTTCCAAGACTTGAACCCCTGACTACTTAATAGAAAATTATAGCCCTCCAACTCAAACAAATCTCTAGTTAATTGCATTCCCCCTCAATTCAAACCCATGTTGATTTCATTCAAGCTAACTTCATTTGATCATTACTTCATATAAATTCCTTCTAATATGATTGTTCGATCGACTAAACAAATCTTATGGTAGTGACCAGTCTTAATACAAGTATACCTGAGCGCTGTGTTGACGGTAATGTAACAACATCAATCTCCACCCATTTTAGTGAAATCACACTAGATCCGCGGAATAGTAATAAAAATGTTTTCAATCGCGAAAGAATAAAACTAACTGGACCCAAATTATTAGATACCATAATTCCAAATTATACGAACAGCTGAAAGAATAGATTTACTTCATCAATATAACAATGAAGATAGAACCTTGAGACACATTGCAAGCAAAAACGCAAGAAAACTGAGAAGCAAAACAATTGGTGAAGTTCAATTTTACCGAAATTCTTGCCGACGATGCAATGCCAAGTTGGGCCGTATTTTTTGTCAAACTTCTTCTTTATGTGCTCTGCTACATCCTTCTCCACTTTAGAATCCTCAAACGCCTAGTGAAAATTACAAGAATTTTGGTGGATTAGCAAATTTCTTTTAGAAAAATTAAAAACGCGGTGCTTAAATTTTCAACGAAAGGCGAAAAAGGTAAAGGGTTTTCATTTTCGTTCTTCTTTTTACTTTTTTTTTTTTTTTTTATACTTTGTTGGAGGGCGAAAGAGAGAGATTACAGCAATGGCAATGTCGATGGCTTCTTTCTGCAAGTCCTCTTTCATATCTGAGCTCTTAATGGTGACTTTCTTACCGGAGGAAGTTTTCCGATCGTCCGAAGAAGACATAAGCGCCGCCACCGATGCTCCGCCGCCGCAGCTCGTCTTTGTCCCTTCACTCATTCTTCCGCCTAACTTTTATTGTCTCTCTCAAAAAGTTCAAAAATCGATCACTCCGCAAAATGTATTTTTTAAAAGAAGAGAGGAGTGCGGTGGAGTGATTTGTAAAGCTGGTTTTCTGATCTGCTTTGAAAATCTCTGCCCTATACTTTCAGTATAAAAAAATTCCGGATCTATATATTGTGGTTTTTTTAACCTTTTACTTAATGACAGGGCAAAGTTAGGGTAGCTAAAATTTTACTGAATTGCTAAATATCGCACCCTTTTTACTTCGTACCGCACCCCCAAAAGACTATTTTGACCTTTATATTTTTTATTTAAAAAGAAAATGATGTTCCCTCTTCAGAGCCACTTATTGGCAGAACCGAGCCTCGAAAAATTCCGAAAACACATCCGAATAATTCCAGCGAAAAAATACTTTCCAACAAGACCACTGTTGCGGCGGGCGGCCGGTCAAACTGGCCGGACTGGAGCCGGCCGACCGGCGATCGCGGCCGGACTGGTGCTGGCCGAAC